GGACAGGAGGACAGGACAGGAGGACAGGACAGGAGGACAGGACAGGAGGACAGGACAGGAGGACAGGACAGGACAGGACAGGAGGACAGGACAATACAAGATTGAATTTAACTCCTGTGTCATCCTCTAAGAATCATCAGACTAGGAGACAGTGGTACTTTACCTGGTGTCATGATAGAATCATCAGACTAGGAGACAGTGGTACTTTACCTGGTGTCATGATAGAATCATCAGACTAGGAGACAGTGGTACTTTACCTGGTGTCATGATAGAATCATCAGACTAGGAGACAGTGGTACTTTACCTGGTGTCATGATAGAATCATCAGACTAGGAGACAGTGGTACTTTACCTGGTGTCATGATAGAATCATCAGACTAGGAGACAGTGGTACTTTACCTGGTGTCATGATAGAATCATCAGACTAGGAGACAGTGGTACTTTACCTGGTGTCATGATAGAATCTCCTTTCCTGGTCCTCAGGGGCTCTAAGGGGAAAGAGAAGACACTTTTTCAATGGAGATGAAGGGAACAAAGTTAACACACGGGAGCCTTCAACCTACTCAGGAGATCACATTACACTGGAGCCTTCAACCTACTCAGGAGATCACATAACACTGGAGCCTTCAACCTACTCAGGAGATCACATAACACTGGAGCCTTCAACCTACTCAGGAGATCACATAACACTGGAGCCTTCAACCTACTCAGGAGATAACATAACACTGGAGCCTTCAACCTACTCAGGAGATCACATAACACTGGAGCCTTCAACCTACTCAGGAGATCACATAACACTGGAGCCTTCAACCTACTCAGGAGATCACATTACACTGGAGCCTTCAACCTACTCAGGAGATCACATAACACTGGAGCCTTCAACCTACTCAGGAGATCACATAACACTGGAGCCTTCAACCTTCTCAGGAGATCACATAACACTGGAGCCTTCAACCTACTCAGGAGATCACATAACACTGGAGCCTTCAACCTACTCAGGAGATCACATAACACTGGAGTCTTCAACCTACTCAGGAGATCACATAACACTGGAGCCTTCAACCTACTCAGGAGATCACATAACACTGGAGCCTTCAACCTACTCAGGAGATCACATAACACTGGAGCCTTCAACCTACTCAGGAGATCACATTACACTGGAGCCTTCAACCTACTCAGGAGATCACATAACACTGGAGCCTTCAACCTACTCAGGAGATCACATAACACTGGAGCCTTCAACCTACTCAGGAGATCACATAACACTGGAGCCTTCAACCTACTCAGGAGATCACATAACACTGGAGCCTTCAACCTACTCAGGAGATCACATAACACTGGAGCCTTCAACCTACTCAGGAGATCACATAACACTGGAGCCTTCAACCTACTCAGGAGATCACATAACACTGGAGCCTTCAACCTACTCAGGAGATCACATAACACTGGAGCCTTCAACCTACTCAGGAGATCACATAACACTGGAGCCTTCAACCTACTCAGGAGATCACATTACACTGGAGCCTTCAACCTACTCAGGAGATCACATTACACTGGAGCCTTCAACCTACTCAGGAGATCACATTACACTGGAGCCCTCATCATACGCATTTTGCCATGTCTAATGCTGTGTTCCTCTGGGCATATGCCCTGAATGCCCGGTTTTGGTAATTCTTGATTCTCCCTAACTGATGGTATTATTTAAAAATATATACACACTACCTGTCAAAAGTTTTAGAACACCTACTCATTGATCTCATTCAATCTCTATTGCACTCCACACTGCCCTTTCCCACCTGGACAAGAGGAACACCTACGTGAGAATGCTATTCATTGACTACAGCTCAGCGTTCAACACCATAGTGCCCTCAAAGCTCATCACTAAGCTAAGGATCCTGGGACTAAACACCTCCCTCTGCAACTGGATCCTGGACTTCCTGACGGGCCGCCCCCAGGTGGTAAGGGTAGGTAACAACACATCTGCCACACTGATCCTCAACACGGGGGCCCCTCAGGGGTGCGTGCTCAGTCCCCTCCTGTACTCCCTGTTCACCCATGACTGCATGGCCAGGCACGACTCCAACACCATCATTAAGTTTGCCGACGACACAACAGTGGTAGGCCTGATCACCGACAACGATGAGACAGCCTATAGGGAGGAGGTCAGAGATCTGGCCGTGTGGTGCCAGGACAACAACCTCTCCCTCAACGTGACCAAGACAAAGGAGATGATTGTGGACTACAGGAAAAAAAAAAAGAGGACTGAGCACACTCCCATTCTCATCGACGGGGCTGTAGTGGAACAGGTTGAGAGCTTCAAGTTCCTTGGTGTCCACATCACCAACGAACTATCATGGTCCAAACACACCAAGACAGTCGTGAAGAGGGCACGACAAAGCCTATTCCCCCTCAGGAGACTAAAAAGATTTGGCATGGGTCCTCAGATCCTCAAAACATTCTACAGCTGCACCATCGAGAGCATCCTGACTGGTTGCATCACCGCCTGGTATGGCAACTGCTCGGCCTCCGACCGCAAGGCACTACAGAGGGTAGTGCGTACGGCCCAGTACATCACTGGGGCAAAGCTTCCTGCCATCCAGGACCTCTATACCAGGCGGTGTCAGAGGAAGGCCCTCAAAATTGTCAAAGACTCCAGCCACCCTAGTCATAGACTGTTCTCTCTGCTACCGCACGGCAAGCGGTACCGGAGTGCCAAGTCTAGGTCCAAAAGACTTCTCAACAGCTTCTACCCCCAAGCCATAAGACTCCTGAACAGCTAATCATGGCTACCCGGACTATTTGCACTGCCCCCCCACCCCATCCTTTTTACGCTGCTGCTACTCTGTTAATTATTTATGCATAGTCACTTTAACTCTACCCACATGTACATATTACCTCAACTACCTCAACTAGCCGGTGCCCCCGCACATTGACTCTGCAACGGTACCCCCCTGTATATATAGCCTCCCTACTGTCACTTTATTTTACTGTATATATAGCCTCCCTACTGTCACTTTATTTTACTTCTGCTCTTTTTTTTCTCAACACTTTTTTTGTTGTTGTTTTATTTTTACTTTTTTAATTAAAAATAAATGCACTGTTGGTTAAGGGCTGTAAGTAAGCATTTCACTGTAATGTCTGCACCTGTTGTATTCGGCGCATATGACCAATAAAATTTGATTTGATTTGATTTGAAGGGTTTTTCTTTATTTTTACTATTTTCTACATTGTAGAATAATAGTGAAGACATCAAAACTATGAAATCACACATATGGATTAATGTAGTAGCCCAAATAAGTGTTAAACAAATCAAAATATATTTTATATTTGAGATTCTTTAAATAGCCACCCTTTGCCTTGATGACAGCTTTGAACACTTGGTATTCTCTCAACCAGCTTCATGAGGTAGTCACCTGGAATGCATTTCAATTAACAGGTGTGCCTTTTTAAAAGTTAATTTGTGGAATTTCTTAATGCGTTTGAGCCAATCAGTTATGTTGTGACAATGTAGGGGGGTTTACAGAAGATAGCCCTATTTGGTTCAAGACCAAGTCAATATTATGGCAAGAACAGCTCAAATAAGCAAAGAGAAAAGACAGTCCATCTTTACTTTAAGACATGAAGGTCAGTCAACACGGAAAATATCAAGAACTTTGAAAGTTTCTTCAAGTGCAGTCTCAAAAACCATCAAGCGCTATGATGAAACTGGCTCTCATGAGGACCGCCACAGGAATGGAAGACCCAGAGTTACCTCTGCTGCAGAGGATACGTTCATTAGAGTTACCAGCCTCAGAAATTACAGCCCAAATAAATGCAGCCCCAAGTCACAGACACATCAACAGTTCAGAGGAGACTGTGTGAATCAGGCCTTCATGGTCGAATTGCTGCAAAGAAACCAATGGACATTAGACCGGTGGAAATGTGTCCTTTGGTCTGGAGTCCAAATTAGAGATTTTTGGTTCCAACCGCCGTGTCTTTGAGAGTTGCGGTGTGGGTGAACGGATGATCTCTGCATGTGTATTTCCCACCGTAAAGCATGGAGGAGGAGGTGTGATGGTGTGGGGGTGCTTTGCTGGTGACACTGTCTGTGATTTATTTAGAATTCAAGGCACACTTAACCAGCATGGCTACCACAGCATTCTGCAGCGATACGCCATCCCATCTGGTTTGGGCTTAGTGGGACTATCATTTGTTTTTCAACAGGACAATGAACCAACACACCTCCAGGCTGTGTAAGGGCTGTTTTACCAAGAAGGAGAGTGATGGAGTGCTGCATCAGATGACCTGGCCTCCACAATCCCCCGACCTCCACCCAATTGAGATGGTTTGGGATGAGTCGGACCGCAGAGTGAAGGAAAAGCAGCCAACAAGTGCTCAGCATATGTGGGAACTCCTTCAAGACTGTTGGAAAAGCATTCCAGGTGAAGCTGGTTGAGAGAATACCAAGAGTGTGCAAAGCTGTCATCAAGGCAAAGGGCGGCTATTTGAAGAATCTCAAATATATTTTGATTTGTTTAACACTTTTTTGGTTACTACATGATTCCATGTGTTATTTCATAGTTTTGATGTCTTCACTATTATTCTACAATGTAGAAAATAGTAAAAATAAAGAAAAACCCTTGAAATGAGTAGGTGTTCTAAAACTTTTGACCAGTAGTGTATAGTTCAATATGTTTTCTATCTGGTTTTGGTTGTTTAAACGTTTTTCCCCGAAAATCACCACTTAGACGGCCCGCCTAAGAACTTTCTATACAGAAAAACCCTGTAATTAGCTCCAATTTCTAGCATGCCAACTGTTCCTGTAGACTTCCAGTCATTGCGCTAACGCTAGTTAGCATTGGCTCGTGAAACATCCTTCATACTGGACACAGAGACATAAAATGGTATCTGCAGTGGTATTCTGTTGCAGCTAGCGATATTCCTGCTTATTCCTTACTGATTCCGAGAAACTTCCAACTGGGATTTCTGGGAAACCTACCAGCCTAATACAGATGACATACCTCTGTTCTTCCTGCGGACCTGGGCGGTTAGAGGGGGCTGTTCCACCTGGTGGTGTGTTACCCCCTCCGTGCTTCCTGACCTGTCAGGCCCCTTCTCCTTCCTCTTCTGCTTCCGCCTCTCCCGGTTACTCACCTTAGTCTGCCACGCACCTGGAGGAGAGAGCAGGGGTTTGGTTTCTTTAAATCTACTAGGATTATAATGTTGTTTCACCTGGAGGAGAGAGCAGGGGTTTGGTTTCTTTAAATCTACTAGGATTATAATGTTGTTTCACCTGGAGGAGAGAGCAGGGGTTTGGTTTCTTTAAATCTACTAGGATTATAATGTTGTTTCACCTGGAGGAGAGAGCAGGGGTTTGGTTTCTTTAAATCTACTAGGATTATAATGTTGTTTCACCTGGAGGAGAGAGCAGGGGTTTGGTTTCTTTAAATCTACTAGGATTATAATGTTGTTTCACCTGGAGGAGAGAGCAGGGGTTTGGTTTCTTTAATCTACTAGGATTTAAGTGTTCCCTGGTAGAGAGCAGGGTTGGTTTCCTTTAATCTACAATCTATAACCTTGTTTCCTGGTAGAAGACAGGTTTGGTCTTTAAATCACTAGGATTATAATGTTGTTTCAACTGGAGAAGAGCAGGGTTGGTTCTTTAAATCTAATACATTAAATGGTTCAAACCTGAGACGAGAGAGGGTTTAGTTCTTAAAATTCTAGATTAATGTTTTCACCGAGAGAGAGACAGGTTGGTTCTTTAAATCTCTAGGATTAAAGTTGTTCACCTGAGAGAGGCAGGTTTGGTTCTTTAAATCTCAGGATTTATGTTGTTTCCCGAGGAGAAGCAGGGGTTTAATTTCTTTAATCCACTAGGATTATAATGTTGTTTCACTGAGAGAAGAAGGGGTTTAGTTTCTTTAAATCTACATGGAAAAATGTTTTTCACCTGGAGGAGAGAGCAGGGGTTTGGTTTCTTTCTCTCTACCTTTAAGAGCTCCCTGTGTACAGATCTAGGATCAGTTTCCCCTCCCCCTATCCTAACCTTGAGGCATTTCCATGGTAACAGATTTGCGCCGACACTGACTTTCCACTTCAAATGTATGCCAAACAAAAAAACATTGATATAGAAGTTTAACAAACCATGTTCAACAAACTATGCACAAGGACTACTTATAACAATTTACACTGAACATTTTACAAAAACACATTTCCTGAAGGAGCTGTGCAGATGCAAAGTTCGGTAACAGAATTTCGGTAAAATCTCAGTTTCTTTTGTGTCCATGTTTTCCAAAAACTCTTACATATCTGCTCCGAATTAAGATTCAACGATGTCTGCAGAAAGAATGGGGTGTCAGCTATGACAAGACACATTGAAAAAATCTATTTTGGTTAATGAACTACAGTAAGTGAAGTGGATTTATACCCGGTAACGGAATTGCGGTAACGGAACGTCATCATGGGTCCCTGATCTGTACTACACAGAAATCCATAATGATGATATGAAAGTCATGCTCTTCATGGGGATGTATCCTGAATGGTACAAAAGGTAGAAATATACAATATCCTCCTTTGCATATTTTGGTATTATTCTACATACTGGCTATTATTTTAACGAGCTCTTCCCCCAAACACGACCAAATTCGGTTGGTCCGGACCAAATCTGAACCAATCATAGACGTCAATGTTTCACAACTTTGGACATTAAGCCCAGTAGATTACAGTTCAGTTCAGTACTAGTGTTGTCACGATACCAGAATTTGGACTTGGATACCGATTACAGGTTTAGTATCATGATACTCGATACCATCATGATACCAAAACAACAAAGGTGTTTTAGCCAGTCCTAGAATGGCACTTTATCCAGACAGATAAACTCAGCTCCTGCTCTGTTCAGTCTCATCACATTAGAACATGTCCTTTATCCAGACAGATAAACTCAGCTCCTGCTCTGTTCAGTCTCATCACATTAGAACATGTCCATTTGTTTTGAGACATTAATGAATCAATAATACAATCGATCTGACTTTGTTTTCACCAATCTAACTACAAAAACAACAATGGTAATCATTTATTTGAAATGTAAATCTCTATTGATAAACTGAGTAAATCAAGACATAGCCTAGGTCTATTCACAATAGAGGGGAATCCATATTATTCAATAGGAGTGGGATCAAGACATAGCCTAGGTCTATTCACAATAGAGGGGAATCCATATTATCCAATAGGAGTGGGATCAAGACATAGCCTAGGTCTATTCACAATAGAGGTGAATCCATATTATTCAATAGGAGTGGGATCAAGACATAGCCTAGGTCTATTCACACTAGAGGGGAAACCATATTATTCAATAGGAGTGGGGCACTGAGGTATTGAGCTTATTTTAGCTGACTTCATGGAGCTATAGATGAAACAATCCCTTCCATTTAGGACTTATTATATTGGCAACTGCTACAAGAACATATTTTATTGAACTGATTAACAACATTTGCACAGAAGAAGCAATCTCTTCTTTTATAACCGTGTGTCTCTAAGAAATGAATGACGTTCGGGAGGCAGAACGGCACGAGGCAGAACGTCACGAGGCAGAGCGGCACGAGGCAGAACGGCACGAGGCAGAACGGCACGAGGCAGAACGGCACGAGGCAGAACGGCACGAGGCAGAACGGCACGAGGCAGAACGTGGCTGTGGAATCTTGTGGAAACCAGACGGGGGAGGCGAGGCAGACGAAGAAGTGAATTAATAAAGTTGGGGACAATCATCTTTGAAATCAGTATATTTTGCATTATAGTTTAGCATATTATCACAATCCAAGTCGTAGGGTAGTGAATTAATGTTAGCGTCAGCTGTCAGCTAGCCAGGAACGTTAGCCTACAATTAAAGCTACTGGTATGTCTTGCACTCTAGCCTGTATGGACATTGTTTTGCGAACAGTAATGAACAGTTTCTACATTTCTACATGCCGTGTTAAATTCTTCAAGTGTGTTAACGTTTGTGCAGCATGAGTTGGGAGCAGGCGAGAACAAAGTTCAAGTTTTCAGAAAATGGCAATCTTCGTGGTCAATCTTCGTGTAAATAAATACAAATTTCAAAGACAATCATGGGACCAATAATTGACTATTTCTCCAGATGTATGGGCCTTGAACCGATTACTTTAAAAACCAGTAGCTAATGGCAGCCTGCAGTACCCTGGTCGGCCTTCAACTTGAGATACTCAATGAGAGGGGGCAGCACTGAGCCTTCCTAGAGTAGCTCAAACTGCGCATGTTCTGTCCACATAGATCTCCCACATGACATCTCAACCAGAATTCCTTGTTTTCAAATGCACTATTGAGTCTTCACAGATACTGAACAACATGACAACATTAAGATTTTACTGAGTTACACTTCATATAAGGAAATCAGTCAATTGAAATAAATTAATCAGGCCCTAATCTATGGATTTCACGACTGGGAATACAGATCTGCATCTGTTGGTCACAGTTACCTTTCAAAACAAAAGTAGGGGCATTGATCAGAAAACCAGTCAGTATCTGGTGTGACCACCATTTGCCTCATGTAGCGCGACACATCTCCTTCACATAGAGTTGATCAGGCTGTTGATTGCGGCCTGTGGAATGTTGTTCCACTCCTCTTCAATGGCTGTACAAAGTTGCTGGATATTGGCGGGAATTGGAACATGCTGTCACACACGTTGATCCAGAGCATCCCAAACATGCTCAACGGGTGTCATGTCTGGTGAATATGCAGGCCATGGAATTGTATACAGATCCTTGAGAAATGGGGCTGTGCATTTTCATGCTGAAACATGAGGTGATGGCGGTGGATGAATGGCACGACAATGGGCCTCAGGGTCTCGTCAAGGTATCTCTGTGCATTCAAATTTCCATAGATAAAATGCAATTGTGTTCGTTGTCCGTAGCTTATGCCTGCCCATACCATAACCCCACTGCCACCATGGGTCACACTGTTCACAACGTTGACATCAGCAAACCAATCGCCCACACGATGCCAAACACTCTGTCTGCCATCTGCCCGGTACAGTTGAAACCGGGATTCATCCATGAAGAGCATACTTCTCCAGCGTGCCTGTGGCCATCGAAGGTGAGCATTTGCCCACTGAAGTCGGTTACGACGCCAAACTGCAGTCAGGTCAAGACCCTGATGAGGACAACGAGCACCCAGATGAGCTTCCCTGAGACGGTTTCTGACAGTGTGCAGAAACTCTTCGGTTGTCCAAACCCACAGTTTCATCAGCTGTCTGGGTGGCTGGTCTCAGACGATCCTGCAGGTGAAGAAGCCGGATGTGGCGGTCCTGGACTGGCGTGGTGACACGTGGTCTGCGGTTGTGAGGCCGGTTGGACGTACTGCCAAATTCTCTAAAATGACATTGGAGGAAGCTTATGGTAGAGAAATGAACATTCAATTCTCTAGCAACAGCTCTGGTGGACATTCCTGCAGTCAGCAATGCAATTGCACACATCTGTGGTATTGTGTTGTGAAAAAACTGCACATTTTAGAGTGGCCTTTTATTGTCCACAGCACAATGTGCACCTGTGTAATGATCATGCTGTTTAAATCAGCTTCTTGATATGCCACACCTGTCAGGTGGATGGATTATCTTGGCAAAGGAGAAATTCTCTAACAGGGATGTAAACAAATTTGTGCACAAATAAGCTATTTTTGTATTCTGTGTGTTTGGGAAAATTTCTGGGATCTTTTATTTCAGCTCATGAAACATGGGACGAACACTTTACATGTTGCATTTATCTTTTTGTTCAGTGTAGATACAGGTCATTGGTGGAGAGCGAACAATGCAGCCAGACAGCTCTAGTAATGATTGAGGAAGAGGAACAGGCACTTTGCTCTTCACACTTTAAAAGAGGCTGCGCTGACTGAGAGGGCATCCTGTATCTCGTGAGACACATTTGACAGAAGTACCAAACATAAATTCCAGTACTGTATCAAAAAAAGTGCAGAAGTTTCAGTATACTGTGAAAAACTATTCAGTTGGGTGCAGTAGACTATAGTACATTATAGTGTCCTCAACTCTACTCTCCTCTCTTACTTTTCCTCTCTGTCCGCTCTACTCTCCTCTCTTACTTTTCCTCTCTGTCCGCTCTACTCTCCTCTCGTCCAAACTTGTGAACCCAACTGTGGTGTGACTACTATGATTTCGCATTGTAGCCAATTCAATTGCAGAAATTCTGTTACCGATTTTTCTGAAATTCCGTTATCAATTTTGTCACTGAATTTCTAGCTTTAATTACTTAATAATTCATAAACAAATTTGATATCAGTAAAAACGAACTAATTGATTGATAAGTCCTTTACTTCCAAACATTTATTATTTATTTCTTTACTTATTATCCTCCCTATCTTAAAGATATGTGGGCTTTTGGTAACGGAATTTCAAGGCACAAGGCAATGTTTCTTAAAACGTAAAGAAGGCAGAAAAATGTCTCAAACTAAATATAAGTGTTAATATTCGGTGGCATGGGGGACTTTACTATTGTGAATTATGCGCACTTAGCCCTATTTATGACCTTACATCCAATTAATTGCTACATTGCACACACTGTTATATATCATTTTCTGTTGTATTTCTGACTTTATGTTTTTTACCCCTATGTAACTCTGTGTTGTTTTTATGGCACTACTTTGCTTTATCTTGGCCAGTCGCAGTTGTAATGAGAACCTGTTCTCAACGGCTTACCTGGTAAATAAAGGTGAAATATTTGATTTTTTTTTTTTACGTCAACGGTAGAGTTTCTAAGACCCTTTTCATCTGGTCAGAACCCAAAGCCTGGAACTTATCCTATTTTTAGGATGGAAATGTAAATATACGTGCAATTCGAACGTTTTCTAGAACCCTGGAAATTTTTCCACATTTTGTTACAGATTATCTAAAATGGATTCATGTTTTTTTCTCTTCATCAATCTACACCCCATAATGAAAGCAAAAAAAGGTTTTTAGGAAAATTTTGCAAATGTATTAAAAAATAACTAACTGAAATAATCAAATTTACATAAGTATACAGGACCCTTTAACAGAGTACTTTTGTAGCATCTTTGGCAGCGATTACAGCCTCGAGTCTTATTGGGGTATGACGCTAACAAGTTGCGCACCTTGTATTGGGGGAGTTTCGCGCCCTGTATTTGGGAGTTGCCTCACAATTCGCTCTACAGATCCAGCTATTTTTCAGGTCTCGCCAGAGATGTTTTGATCGGGTTTCAATTCCGGGCTCTGACTGGGCCAACTCAAGTGACATTCAGGAACCTTCAGAATACTTCCATGTTGGAATGGTGAACCTTCGCCACAGTCTGAGGTCCGTGAGCGCTCTGGAGCAGGTTTTCATCAAGGATCTCTCTGTACTTTGCTCCGTTCATCTTTCCCTCGATCCTGACTAGTCCTCCCAGATCCCTAACACTGAAAACATCCCCACAGTATGATGCTGCCACCACCACGCTTCACCGTAGGGATGGTGTCAGGTTCCTCCAGACGTGACGCTGGCATTCAGCCCAAGAGTTCAATCTTGGTTTCATCAGACCAGAGAATCTTGTTTCTCATGATCTGAGAGTCCTTTAGGTGCCTTTTGGTAAACTCCAAGCTGGCTGTCATTTTACTGAGGAGTGGCTTCCGTCTGGCCACTCTACCATAAAGGCCTGATTGGTGGAGTGCTGCAGAGATGGTTGTCCTTCTGGAAGGTTCTCCCATCTCCACAGAGGAACTCTGGAGCTCTGTCAAAATGACCATTGGGTCCTTGGTCACCTCCCTGACCAAGGCCCTTCTCCCCCGATTGCTCAGTTTGGCCAAGCGGCCAGCTCTACGAAGAGTCTTGCTGGTTCCAAATGTATTCCATTTAAGAATGATGGAGGCCACTGTGTTCTTGGGGACCTTCAATGCTGCAGACATTTTTTGGTACCCTTCCCCAGATCTGTGCCTCGACACAATCCTGTCTTGGAGCTCTACGGACAATTCCTTCGACGTCATGGCTTTTTTTTTGCTCTGAAATGCACTGTCAACTGTGAGACCTTATATAGACAGCTGTGTTCCTTTCCAGATCATGTCAACTCAATTGAATTTACCACAGGTGGACTCCAATCAAGTTGTAGAAACATCTCAAGGATGATCAATGGAAACAGGATGCACCTGAGCTCAATTTCGAAGTCTCATAGCAAAGGGTCTGAATACTTATGTAAATAAGGTATTTCTGTTTTTTTTTATTTTATAAATTTGCTAAAATGTATAAAAACCTGTTTTCACTTTGTCATTATGGGGTATTGTGTGTAGATTGCTGAAAAAAAATATGTAATTAATTTTAGAATAAGGCTGTAACGTAACAAAATGTGGAAAAGGGAACGGGTCTTAATACTTCTGAATGCACAGTATATACACCTTAATTTCTCACAAATACTATTAGCTTTCATTTCTCTTGTTGGTGCTCATGGGTCTTTTCTCTTGTTGGTGCTCATGGGTCTTTTCTCTTGTTGGTGCTCATGGGTCTTTTCTCTTGTTGGTGCTCATGGGTCTTTTCTCTTGTTGGTGCTCATGGGTCTTTTCTCTTGTTGGTGCTCATGGGTCTTTTCTCTTGTTGGTGCTCATGGGTCTTTTCTCTTGTTGGTGCTCATGGGTCTTTTCTCTTGTTGGTGCTCATGGGTCATTTCTCTTGTTGGTGCTCATGGGTCTTTTCTCTTGTTGGTGCTCTGTTGGGTCTTTTCTCTTGTTGGTGCTCATGGGTCTTTTCTCTTGTTGGTGCTCATGGGTCTTTTCTCTTGTTGGTGCTCATGGGTCTTTTCTCTTGTTGGTGCTCTGTTGGGTCTTTCTCTTGTTGGTGCTCATGGGTCTTTTCTCTTGTTGGTGCTCATGGGTCTTTTCTCTTGTTGGTGCTCATGGGTCTTTTCTCTTGTTGGTGCTCATGGGTCTTTTCTCTTGTTGGTGCTCATGGGTCTTTTCTCTTGTTGGTGCTCATGGGTCTTTTCTCTTGTTGGTGCTCATGGGTCTTTTCTCTTGTTGGTGCTCATGGGTCTTTTCTCTTGTTGGTGCTCATGGGTCTTTTCTCTTGTTGGTGCTCATGGGTCTTTTCTCTTGTTGGTGCTCATGGGTCTTTTTACTTGGACCTTAACTGATCCTAGATCAGCATCACCCGCCCCAGACACTAAACCCCACCCCTTTACACCCTAACCCCACCCCTTTTACACCCTAACCCCACCCCTCTTACACCCTAACCCCCACCCTTTACACCCTTACCCCACCCCTTTACACCCTAACCCCACCCCTTTACACCCTAACCCCACCCCTTTACACCCTAACCCCACCCTTTACACATCTCTTAATGACCCGCCCCAGACCCTAACCCCACCCCACCCCTTTACACCCTAACCCCACCCCGTTACACCCCTAACCCCAACCCCCCTTTTTTACACCTAACCCCACCACGTTACACATCTGCTTATGACCCGCCCCAGACCCCTAACCCCACCCCTTTTACACCCTCAACCCCCCCCTTTTACACCCCTAACCCCCACCCCCTTTACACATCTCCTAATGACCCGCCCCAGACCCTAACCCCACACCCATTTTACACCCTAACCCCACCCCTTTACTACACCAAACCCCACCCCGTTACACATCTCCTAATGGAAAAGATGATCACCCGCCCCAGACCCTAACCCCACCCCGTTACACCCTAACCCCACCCCTTTACACCCTAACCCCACCCCTTTACACCCTAACCCCACCCCGTTACACCCTAACCCCACCCCGTTACACCCTAACCCCACCCCGTTACACATCTCCTAATGGAAAAGATGATCACCCGCCCCAGACCCTAACCCCACCCCGTTACACATCTCCTAATGAAAAAGATGATCACCCGCCCCAGACCCTAACCCCACCCCGTTACACATCTCTTAATGAAAAAGATGATCCCTACAGAACTAGAAGCACAGCTTGATAACCTTTTAAGTGTGATTTAAGGTTTTCATTAATGTCATCATACAGATATCCAATTTATAGTTGTATAGCCTCAATTGAATTACTGCTTGGCCAACATGGACGTTTCTACACAGCTTGATGTTAGTTAGATCAAGGTGAAATGGCATCAATCATTAAGCAACAGATTAAACACAACTGTTTCTCCCACTTAAAAAGATGAGAGAGGCCTGTAATTTTCATCATAGGTACACGTCAACTATGACAGACAAATTGAGAGAAAAAAAATCCAGAAAATCACATTGTAGGATTTTTAATGAATTTATTTGCAAATTATGGTCTTGGACTCATCTTTTTAAGTGGGAGAACTTCACAATTGGTGACTGCGACCTGGCCAAGATAAAGCAAAGCAGTGCGATAAAAACAACAACACAGGGTTACACATGGGGTAAAACAAAATAAAGTCAAAAATAAAACAGAAAATATATATACAGTGTGTTCGAATGTAGTAAGTTATGGAGGTAAGGCAATAAATAAATAGGCCATAGTGCAAAAATACACTGCTCAAAAAAATAAAGGGAACACTAAAATAACACATCCTAGATCTGAATGAATGAAATAATCTTATTAAATACTTTTTTCTTTACATAGTTGAATGTGCTGACAACAAAATCACACAAAAATTATCAATGGAAACCCATGGAGGTCTGGATTTGGAGTCACCCTCAAAATTAAAGTGGAAAACCACACTACAGGCTGATCCAACTTTGATGTCATGTCCTTAAAACAAGTCAAAATGAGGCTCAGTAGTGTATGTGGCCTCCACGTGCCTGTATGACCTCCCTACAACGCCTGGGCATGCTCCTGATGAGGTGGCGGATGGTCTCCTGAGGGATCTCCTCCCAGACCTGGACTAAAGCATCCGCCAACTCCTGGACAGTCTGTGGTGCAACGTGGCGTTGTTGGATGGAGCGAGACATGATGTCCCAGATGTGCTCAATTGGATTCAGGTCTGGGGAACGGGCGGGCCAGTCCATAGCATCAATGCCTTCCTCTTGCAGGAACTGCTGACACACTCCAGCCACATGAGGTCTAGCATTGTCTTGCATTAGGAGGAACCCAGGGCCAACCGCACCAGCATATGGTCCCACAAGGGGTCTGAGGATCTCATCTCGGTACCTAATGGCAGTCAGGCTACCTCTGGCGAGTACATGGAGGGCTGTGCGGCCCCCCCAAAGAAATGCCACCCCACACCATGACTGACCCACCGCCAAACCGGTCATGCTGGAGGATGTTGCAGGCAGCAGAACGTTCTCCACGGCGTCTCCAGACTCTGTCACGTCTGTCACATGTGGTCAGTGTGAACCTGCTTTCATCTGTGACGAGCACAGGGCACCAGTGGCGAATTTGCCAATCTTGGTGTTCTCTGGCAAATGCCAAACGTCCTGCACGGTGTTGGGCTGTAAGCACAACCCCCAACTGTGGACGTCGGGCCCTCATACCACGCTCATGGAGTCTGTTTTTGACCATTTGAGCAGACACATGCACATTTGTGGCCTGCTGGAGGTCATTTTGCAGGGCTCTGGCAGTGCTCCTCCTGCTCCTCCTTGCACAAAGGCGGAGGTAGCAGTCCTGCTGCTGGGTTGTTGCCCTCCTACAGCCTCCTCCACGTCTCCTGATGTACTGCCCTGTCTCCTGGTAGCGCCTCCATGTTCTGGACACTACGCTGACAGACACAGCAAACCTTCTTGCCACAGCTCGCATTGATGTGCCATCCTGGATGAGCTGCACTACCTGAGCCACTTGTGTGGGTTGTAGACTCCGTCTCATGCTACCACTAGAGTGAAAGCACCGCCAGCATTCAAAAGTGACCAAAACATCAGCCAGGAAGCATAGGAACTGAGAAGTGGTCTGTGGTCACCACCTGCAAAACCAGTCCTTTATTGGGGGTGTCTTGCTAATTGCCTATAATTTCCACCTGTTGTCTATTCCATTTGCACAACAGCATGTGAAATGTATTGTCAATCAGTGTTGCTTCCTAAGTGGACAGTTTGATTTCACAGAAGTGTGATTGACTTGGAGTTACATTGTGTTGTTTAAGTGTTCCCTTTATTTTTTTGAGCAGTGTAGTTACAATTTCGTAATTAACACTGGAATGATAGATGTGCAAAAGATGATGTGCAAATAGAGATACTGAGGTGCAAATTAGCAAAATAAATAACAATATGGGGATGAGGTAGTTGGGTGGGCTAATTTCAGATGGGCTGTGTACAGGTGCAGTGATCGGTAAGCTGCTCTGACAACTGATGCTTAAAGTTAGTGAGGGAGATAAGTGTCTCCAGCTTCAGAGATTTTTGCATTTGCTATTTTGTAAATTACATCGCCGAAGTCAAGGATCGGTAGGATAGTCAGTTTTACGAGGGCATGTTTGGCAGCATGAGTGAAGGAGGCTTTGTTGCGAAATAGGAAGCGGATTCTAGATCTAACTTTTGATTGGAGATGCTTAATGTGAGTCTGGAAGGAGAGTTTACGGTCTTACTCTAAGTCAGACCCGCCGAGAGTAGTGATTCTAGTCGGGCGGGCGGGTGCAAGCAGCGTTCGGTTGAAGAGCATGCATTTAGTTTTACTAGTGTTTAAGAGCAGTTGGAGGCTACGGAAGGAGTGTTGTATGGCATTGAAGCTCGTTTGGAGGTTTGTTAACACAGTGTCCAATGATGGGCCAGATGTATACAAAATGTAACTCCTGGACTGGACCATTAGTCATAACCTCTCACCCATCTGACTATTCAAGTTCAGTTGGACACTAGGGCTGGTCCCAATTGGCACCCTAGTCCCCATACAGGGCCCACAAGGCCTGGTCTAAAGTAGTGCACTATATAGGGAATAGGGTTCCATTCTCTGGTCTAAAGTAGTGCACTATATAGGGAATAGGGTGCCATTCTCTGGTCTAAAGTAGTGCACTATATAGGGAATAGGGTGCCATTCTCTGGTCTAAAGTAGTGCACTATATAGGGAATAGGGTTCCATTCTCTGGTCTAAAGTAGTGCACTATATATGGAATAGGGTGCCATTCTCTGGTCTAAAGTAGTGCACTATATAGGGAATAGGGTGCCATTCTCTGGTCTAAAGTAGTGCACTATATGGGGAATAGGGTGCCATTCTCTGGTCTAAAGTAGTGCACTATATAGGGATTAGGGTGCCATTCTCTGGTCTAAAGTAGTGTACTATATAGGGAATAGGGTGCCATTCTCTGGTCTAAAGTAGTGCACTATATAGGGAACAGGGTGCCATTCTCTGGTCTAAAGTAGTGCACTATATGGGGAATAGGGTTCCATTCTCTGGTCTAAAGTAGTGCACTGTATAGGGAATAGGGTGCCATTCTCTGGTCTAAAGTAGTGCACTATATAGGGAATAGGGTACCATTCTCTGGTCTAAAGTAGTGCACTATATAGGGAATAGGGTGCCATTCTCTGGTCTAAAGTAGTGCACTATATAGGGAATAGGGTGCCATTCTCTGGTCTAAAGTAGTGCACTATATAGGGAATAGGGTACCATTCTCTGGTCTAAAGTAGTGCACTATATAGGGAATAGGATACCATTCTCTGGTCTAAAGTAGTGCACTATATAGGGAATAGGGTGCCATTCTCTGGTCTAAAGTAGTGCACTATATAGGGAATAGGGTGCCATTCTCTGGTCTAAAGTAGTGCACTATATAGGGAATAGGGTACCATTCTCTGGTCTAAAGTAGTGCACTATATAGGGAATAGGGTACCATTCTCTGGTCTAAAGTAGTGCACTATATAGGGAATAGGGTGCCATTCTCTGGTCTAAAGTAGTGCACTATATAGGGAATAGGGTGCCATTCTCTGGTCTAAAGTAGTGCACTATATAGGGAATAGGGTGCCATTTGGGACGCATCCTGTGAGTCACTGCCTAATCCCCTAACAATGCCATTGTAGCCTTATACAAGGGTCTTAAAATAGCACAGTCTGAATTAAAACAGTATAATTCTGCAGGATACATTTAGCAAGAGGGTATAAAGAAGTCCCCCAAGGTGAAGGGTTCATAAAGGGGTTAAAGGTCGTACCATCATCAGGCTCTTTGCCATCGCCAGCAGAAACCCTCTCGGCTGGTTTCACCTCGGGTTTCGCTTTCTTCTTGGTTTTCTTCACCTATTCAATGAAAGACAACAAAAAGTCAAACTTTCAAGCAATAGTAGTCCTAATGTTCATTCATTGATAAATATTGATGTATACACTAGATGACTGCTAGGGGGCGCTGTGTTGAAGCCACCGTGCTTCCTTTACCCCAACATTGTAAAAAGAAAAAAGGAAGCTATAGAAATGCATTTATTCATGTCTAGTTAGTTTTGCCACATTTATTCTATTACAGACACCTTAATTAATACTTTTAAATGATCTTATGTGAGCTTAACAAATGAAATAAATATATATAAATAAAACATTTTCCCACAACAATAACAAAAATACTTAAATACATAATAATTTTGTCCTTGAAACATTTAATTGAAATAGAATTCCATTCATTCCTATGGAGAACTGCTCCTACTGGGGAGTGGCAATATGGCCGACCGCTGGCTTCAAAGCCTCCCAATAGCCAATACATAGCATCAGCAATCCAGGGTTTATATATATCATTGGTATATTTCCAGTTTCCCAATATACAATACTGTGTAACCATGGCATAACCTACAGCCTGACCAAACACAGTGTGAGTGACTCAACATCCTTTGCAGTTTGTCTGTTATCAGCTGCAGCTGTGTGGCAGGCAACTTAAAACTCCCCACCAGGTACTGAGCTCCCCACCAGGTACTGAGCTCCCCACCAGGTACTGAGCTCCCCACCAGGTACTGAGCTCCCCACCAGGTACTGAGTGAAACAGATAAGTTTTTAAATAACTCCTGATGCTGAATCTGGATGTCCAGAAGCAAACCTGACACCAGCTTGGACCACCTGGCCCTTCTAGACCAGCATTACCCCTCTCAGTGAGCTGGAGAACAGCCCCTTCTAGACCAGCATTACCCCTCTCAGTGAGCTGGAGAACAGCCCCTTCTAGACCAGCATTACCCCTCTCAGTGAGCTGGAGAACAGCCCCTTCTAGACCAGCATTACCCCTCTCAGTGAGCTGGAGAACAGCCCCTTCTAGACCAGCATTACCCCTCTCAGTGAGCTGGAGAACAGCCCCTTCTAGACCAGCATTACCCCTCTCAGTGAGCTGGAGAACAGCCCCTTCTAGACCAGCATTACCCCTCTCAGTGAGCTGGAGAACAGCCCCTTCTAGACCAGCATTACCCCTCTCAGTGAGCTGGAGAACAGCCCCTTCTAGACCAGCATTACCCCTCAGTGAGCTGGAGAACAGCCCCTTCTAGACCAGCATTACCCCTCTCAGTGAGCTGGAGAACAGCCCCTTCTAGACCAGCATTACCCCTCAGTGAGCTGGAGAACAGCCCCTTCTAGACCAGCATTACCCCTCTCAGTGAGCTGGAGAACAGCCTGGAAAGCCAGTTTGTTCTATGCATCAGTTTTATCAAGTAATTAGGCTAAATATCCATGTTCAAATTACTATTACATGTTACTATCTTCACCATGGACCTGTTACCACCATTTAAAATGTGGATACAGGCCTTTCATCAATTCTAGCTAACGGTCCTACAGACGCTGATTTACAGGTGCAAGGATCGCTTTGCCTTTGGTAATTGGATGAGAAATACATTCCCCCTTGTCAATCCAAATAAACTTCCATTAGACTTAAAGATGTTATTGTTAGGTACAAACCTCAGGTTGGGTAATTCCTTCTCTCTCTTCCTCCTGCGGCTCCGACACTGTTCGTCCATTATACTGAGACTTCTGTAGGCCGAGAGAGAAACGACATAAATGGAGCTATTACTGAAGCCGTGTGAGTGACAAAATAACATGACAAACCTATCTAGACATCAGGCAGGCTGACAGTGATCAGACAAGCTATCGTTAGCTAGTTAGCCAGCTAACTACGCAATCTAGCTAAATTGGCTAGCTAGTTAAACCTGCATATCTAGTAGTAGTTAGGTCATTTATGATTCACATGGAATTGATAACTAGCTACATGAGAATACGATTATTCATACTAACGAAGAGTGCTATCTGCAAGCTAAGCTGACAAAACAAAGTAAGATCTTAGAAATAGTTTAGATATTCAGCTAGTTAGCGGCTAACATTAGCAAGCTAACCGGCTAGCCAGCGAGCCAACAACACAACACTCAGCTGAATGGAAGTTTGCCAGCGCCACGACAATGACCATTTCCAACTAGTTAGCTAGCTATATGTGAAGCTACCTTTTCAGTACATTTCTTTTTAGTCTTCTTCTTTTGTGCCTCGGGCTTCACAATCTTATTCACTTGGCCTTTGAGGGAATCGCCACTGTCTTGTGTAACCGGAGCTCCTAGCTTTTTCCCACCGAAGAGTCCGCCACAGACCGCGGCCCACGGCAGAACCAGCACCAGCACCGCGGCGGAAAGGATCACCCATAACGGGTACAGCTCAGGCGTCAGTCCCAATTCCACCCCAAACTCCGATCGGATATATCCCTCCCCGGAGGATAACAGCTCTCTGAGACGACTGGATATCAATTCGGCTTGCTCAATAGCTAAAGCTTGCCAGCCCGTTGCCATTTCGCTGGGGGAAGGGCTTCATGTGACAGTCTGCCAAGCTGTGGCCGGTTTCATTACGCCGAGCCACCGGGGAAAGGTTACGTCAAGGGAGGAGGCCCTTTAAAGTCGGACAAGTCATCTACGCCACTCGGTCATTTAGTCAACAAAGCAGCATGGTGCATCGTCCAGAGACCTACATCTCTTTTCTAAATCGTTTTCATTGGGAAGGCAGATAAATCACTTTTGCATGTGAAAACACAGAATGCGACTCATAACTGCATGTGCTCCTACATCACTTTGTTTTGAGTCGACTTCGCTGTGAATGGAATGGGGCAACTGACTCAACCCGAAAAGCAGCCAGGATCCAAAACGAATGCAATCAACTTTCACCCGGTGCAAAACACGCCTACATAGGCACTATTGCGAGATGATGGCGCTGGAAATGTGCAGAGAGGAGGGCGTGTGTTAAAGGAGTAGTTCACTATTTTACAACCATGTTAGATGGTTCCTCACCCTGACAGTAGTCTTTGGGCCAAGATAAACTGTAATCCTTGGTTCAGTTCTTTAAATAGCCACTACAAACTTCAGTTAACAACCAATGGAATGGATGGGGTCATGTGAGCATGTTTTTTTGTGTGTAAATGGCCAAATCAGTAGTAGTAGTAGTAGTAGTAGTAGTAGCAGTAAGTAGTAGTAGCAGTAGTAGCAGTAGTAGTAGTAGCAGTAGTAGCAGTAGTAGTAGTAGTAGGCAGTAAGTAGTGTAGTAGTTAGTAGTAGTAGTGTAGTAAGTAGTAGCAGTAGTAGTAGTAGTAGTAGTAGCAGTATAGTAGTAGTAGTAGTAGTAGCAGTAGTAGTAGTAGTAGTAGTAGTAGTAGTAGTAGTAGTAGTAGTAGTAGTAAGTAGTAGTAGTAGTAGTAGTAGCAGTAGTAGGCAGTAGTAGTAGTAGTAGTAGTAGTAGCAGTAGTAGTAGTAGTAGTAGTAGTAGTAGTAGTAGTAGTAGTAGTAGCAGTAGTAGTAGTAAGTATAGTAGTAGTAGTAGTATAGTAGTAGTATAGTAGTAGTAGTAGTAGTAGTATAGTAGTAGTAGCAGTAGTAGTAGCAGTAGTAGTAGTAGTAGTAGTAGTAGTAGTAGTAGTAGCAGTAGTAGTAGTAGTAGTAGTAGTAGTAGTAGTAGTAGTAGTAGTGGTAGTAGTAGTAGTAGTAACAGCAGTAGTAGTAGTAGTAGTAGTAGTAGTAGCAGTAGTAGTAGTAGTAGCAACAGTAGTAGTAGTAGTAGTAGTAGGCCCTCTCCTTTTCTCCCTATACACCAAGTCACTTGGCTCTGTCATATCCTCACACGGCCTCTCCTATCATTGCTACGCTGACGATACACAACTAATCTTCTCCTTTCCCCCTTCTGATAACCAGGTGGCGAATCGCATCTCTGCATGTCGGCAGACAATCAGTATGGATGACGGATCACCACCTCAAGCTGAACCCTGGCAAGACGGAGCTGCTCTTCCTCCCGGGGAAGGACTGCCCGTTCCATGATCTCGCCATCACGGTGGACAACTCCGTTGTGTCCTCCTCCCAGAGTGCGAAGAGCCTTGGCGTGACCCTGGACAACACCCTGTCGTTCTCCGCTAACATCAAGGCGGTGACCCGCTCCTGCAGGTTCATGCTCTACAACATTCGGAGAGTACGACCCTGCCTTACACAGGAAGCGGCACAGGTCCTAATCCAGGCACTTGTCATCTCTCGTCTGGATTACTGCAACTCGCTGTTGGCTGGCCTCCCTGCATGTGCCATTAAACCCCTACAACTCATCCAGAATGCCGCAGCCCGTCTGGTGTTCAACCTTTCCAAGTTCTCTCACGTCACCCCCCTCCTCCGCACACTCCACTGGCTTCCAGTTTGAAGCTCGCATCCTTAACCCGCTTACAAAAACCATTCAGAATTTCCCCACCTCTTGGAACCTGGGATGGATAAATTCAACGGGCGCTTCACTGGAGT